ACTGTGTTAATTAACCTCTATAATTACTAAAATCATCCTCCTCTCCAATTAAGCTCAGCTGGTGAAATTGACTTCGGCAAAAGAGGTACAGTGGATAAGTTCATGGGTGGAATTGGTGATGTGACTAATAATATAAGGGGAGCTCAAGACGAGACTAAATATTCAGATCCTAACTGTAGAGATATTACACAAGGTGATCTGAAAACTCATCTTCAGCATCTTGAAGGGGAACTTTCATCAGTACTTCAGACATTAAGGTCAAACACCATCGACACTTCTGGGAAGGTATGGTTTATGGTTATTTTGACCTTGCGTTACATTTTACGTCAGAGGTCTTGGATTTCATCCATAGAAAGCCACAGATAATGTATACATGTAGACCTTTGGTTGTGTACTGTAGGTCTTTATGGTAAAACTTCAACAAGGTCTTATCTGTTAGATTTCCTTCCCTGTTGTGTTTATCTTAATACCCTTAATTTTACTTGCTTCCATGATTTTTAGTATTCTATACCAGTTACACTGCAAAGCTTGCATTCAGGTAGATATATTTCTCTCTGTGCTTCCACAAAACCTCTTTAGTAGTATAGACTATAGAGTTTCGACCTATTAGAGGCAAGGCTGCCCACATGGAAATATTCCTGAAACTCAATCTATAGCTGGATCGATATTGGCGTGTTCTTTTTGAATTGATTTGTTGGAATCTGATATGAAAGTTGCATGCTATTTTAGGAAGAAGGGAGGTGGGGGTGGGGAGGATTCAAATTTTGGCTTTTGCCAGCTTTATGAGTCTGAAATGGTAATTAAAAAACGTATTCAGTCAATTAATATCTAGATGTGGCAGGTTCTCTGATTATAATTGTAGCTTTGTTTAGGTAGAGTTTGGTGATGTAATTGAGCTATTAATTCAGGTTCATATATCAGATTTGGACCCCTTCCCAAAAAAAGAAAAGTAAAGTCACTTTATCTTTCAAAGCTGGAATTACCGCAATCACAATTCTGTAGGGTGTGAGCTAAGAGCAACAAATTAAAAATCCAGCTCCTTTACCTTGGCTCGTCCAATCTGTTTTCTTTCGGCTCCTCTTTTCTTCAATTTAACTGTTGTAAATTCCTCACACTATTGTATTAAGGATGACAGCCTTCTGCCATCACTCATTTGATACAGACAAACTGCTATATATTGCCCCATAATTATCCCTTTTTAATACTGTTCTAATACTATCAATACTGGTAACCTACACACACTAAGGTAAGAGGGTTTCAGATTAGGGGTGAAGATTGACTCCAAAGAATTGATATGTTGTCTAATTTAATATGCCAATTTGCAATCTAGTACTCCCTCCGTTTTTAAATACTTGCTCCATTTCTCCAAGCGCGGAGTTTTAGGAGAAATAGAAGAAAATAATAAAATATGGAGGTAGTAGGGTAGGTGGATGAATAAAAAAAATTGTAAGAAAAATAAATGGATGAACTAGTGGATCAACTTACTTTCAGTTTGTTTTTTTTTTTTTTTTTTTTTTTTTTTTTTTTTGGAGAACATGGTAAGCTGTAAAAAAAATAAATTAATTAATAAAATCCATTTTTCCTATTTCTCCTCAATTTTCCACAATTGGTGGACTGATGGTCCACTTACCTCTCCCCCTTTATTATCCTCACTTTCGTCTGACGGTCATACCTTGCTTGTGCTCATATGCCTTTCAACTTTATACTTTAATAATATAAAACTGTCTAACCATCATAAGCCCAACTTATAGATGGGTTGGGCCAAGGTGAGGGAAACATTGGGATAGGACCATGTGTTGCAAATCTTGCAATGACTAAAAGAAGTGGTCTTATGATGGTTAGACATACACAAAGGTTTCTCTTCAGCTTTTACTCACCCCCTCTTATCTTAAAACCTTCATCCTCCTTTCCACCCTCCTTTGTTTCTCCTTTCCCCTTCTGAGAGCTTCAATATATTCTTCTAACCATTGAATTAACTAATATATTCATATTGGAGAATGGCTAGGTTGAATCTATTAGAAAATTATGTAAAAGGGTAGTAACTTTCAACTTTGGGATACAGAGAACTGGATAAAAAAATAATCTTGTTAACTAGTCTTCTAATATTTATTAGGCGTATTGTTAAACACCCGTCAATTGCCTTTTAGCTGCTTTAGGGTCTACAGAATCTCTTATGATAATCACTGATCATGAGAGGGTTTATGTAGCTTGTTTAATGATAAAATGAATCTCTTTGCTGTCCCAAACCATATACTCTTAATCACGTTGCAAGATTGCTTTCCATTTTTCTAACAAGAACTTTTGTAATTTGCAATAGTTAGCCTGCATACATTTTATGCTTTAAATCCCATATATGTTGGGTGCTTCATGAGAGGGACTTGATTGTATTTGTATATCACTAAATTGATTGATGAGGGTAGAAGTTGACTATACTTTTCTACTCTTTGCCAACCTTAGGACATAGCAACACATACATTGTTCAAAACTGATGTGACTGTCCTTATCAAAAGGAGCTCTAGGCTGCAGTAGGAGTCATAGGATCTCTATCCTTAGGGTGCCAATGTTGACATTAGTTCAAATGCTGTAAAACTTTCAAGGGCTTGTATTGATATATTTACCGAATAAGTTTACTTTCTGAAAGCTCCATTCTGAATCAGGCAAGGGAGGATCTATCCAAAGACTTGAGGCAACTTTCTGATGTTTCAGAGTTCCAGGAAAATGAAATGATGAATGCGCAGGACAAGTTGAGGACACTACGTGCGAAGCTAGCAGTATTAGAAGGGAAGATGTCACTAGCAATAATGTGAGCCGGTCTTCCCACTTTTCTTTTCTTTTTTTTTTTCCTTTGAATTTCCTTTACCTTTTGTTTTCTGAGTGGTGCTTGGAGAGTACTTAACTATGGACGTAATGATCTTTAGAATTAGGATAAAGCAGAAAAGCACATATGTTTCTCATGGGAAATCTGTCTTATTTACCTGATATATCTTGTTTTTGTCAGTTCGCCACCAGATGGTGTCAGCTCAAATTGATTATAACCTAATACAAATCTTCTTGTATTCAACTCTGTCCTGCTAGAAACTTTTCCTACTAATTAACATTGTGTTGTAGTGTAGCCGTCATTCCATGCCTCTAAGATGTGACCTGGTCCGCAATGAGCCAATGAGTTACCATCATACTATTGTATTGAACTGCAGTATGTACCTTGTAAACTAACATCAGTGTTTGTGGCCTTCTTTTCTTTTGCTCTTTCTTGTATGCTTAATAACCAAATCTAATATTGCTGTATTGGTTTCTTGACTGTAGAGATGCTCAGAATATATTAGACAAGAAGCAAAAAAGGATCAATGATGCTCGCAGAGCTCTCCAACTTCTTCGTACTACCTGCATAGTTTGGCCTAATTCTGGATCAGAGGTGCTACTGGCTGGCTCCTTTGATGGATGGGCTACTCAGGTATGGGTCAATTTTCTAACAGATTGAGCATTCCTAATTTTTAGTGCAACATGGAAATTTTCAATGAGAGGAATCAGCTAGACTGTCAAGATGTCTAGATAAAAATGGTGCTTTTATGAATAAACTTCAATTGGCATACATGACTACATGATCATAACAACTGACTGAAATTACGTGTATAGCATTCAGTGGTGTCATTCCTGGGAAAAACCTTCTTATGGCAGTTCCTTATATTTGCTACTTCCTGCTGCTGAAAATGAAACTTATCTCTTAGATATGTGGCTGGGGTCTGGGGTGTAAAGGGCATTTTCTATTCTCCTATCTTCATATTCATTGGCATCAGTGATAACAATCAAAGTCATAATCTGTAACATGTAACATGTAAACATCGTCGAGTCTGGATGAAATGTTTCCTGAAAATTGAATCTGAAGTAGCAGCACTATATACCTTTAATGCTTGAACAACCACCTTTTTTTTTTTTTTATTAACTAATTATTTTTCAAATGCATCACAGAGGAAGATGACAAGGTCAAGTACAGGCATTTTTTCTTTGTGCTTGAAGCTGTATCCCGGAAAATACGAGGTTGATATCGCTACAGTTCAAATGTTTCAGGCTCTGCCGGGCCCCTCCCCTCCCCTCCCCCCACCCCCACCTCCACCCCCCAACACCCCACTCCAAAAAAATGAAGGAGAAGATTCAAGCAAATCTTGACTAATTGTTTGCATCTTTTTTCTAATTGTACATCACAGATAAAGTTCATTGTTGACGGTGTCTGGCAAGTTGACCCCCTTCGTCCGATAGTAAACAACAATGGGTTCGAGAACAATCTTCTTACGATAGCTTAAAGTTGCGAATTAAAAGAGTTAGGATAGCAATTGGTCCAGAGGATCAGTGATTTCTATTGACGATAACCTCCGTTGATGCTCGCATATCTAAAGCTGATGCAAATACTGACAAGATTTTTGCGGCCATCTTGTAGGAAATAGCCTCCATGCTTGTACATATTACCATAACCATTCAGGACATCTCTTTCTTTAGGAAATAACTTCCATGCTTGTACAGTTGTGCATGTTACCATTCATGGCATTTCTTCCTTGGGACAAGTTATTTATTTCCTGCAGATATTATTCAATATATACATGTATGATTTGTCTTCTAATAATATAAATCTCGTTAATACGTTTGCTTCGCTCGCAAATGATGATCATGGGAAATCAAGACCACATAACTCAAGACAGTTCTAGAACCAAATTTCACATACTTAGCTTGGTTACTCCTGTAAGAAGTATCACCAGTTCACCACCGATGAAGTTATAAATTCCAAGCAATGAGTACATAATTAAAGTTAATTGAGCAACGCCAGAATCTACTGAAGAACAACTTTTGGTTTAATATAGGAAGTACCACCTCCCCAGTACAGTGTAAATTATAAACTTCATAGGAAGTTGAACGTCCTCTGTTTTTTGTTAACTCAACATCAAATCTACTTCTCAAGAAACTCAAATGAGTCCATCAAACAACACCTAGATCTTGATGAAATCAGGTTGCCTCCATAATATTTAGTAACAATTTAATAGCACTTGACTCCCGAGTACATTATTTTTCACACATGCTTCGTGTTAAGTATAAATGGGCTTTATCATCCATCGTAATTCAGGGTTGTTTACCAAAGGATCATCTTCCATTTCCCACCTTGATCCTTGTCATTGCAGTGGCTAAGAAAGATCTTTTAGACTACATTGACATCGATAATATGTGTGCTATGATTATAAATCACCGAGTTCTTCAAGTCTAAATATTCAGAGCGAACTTGAACCCACTTCCACAATAAACCCTCAATATCATGCTGTTTTCTTCGAGTAGAACAAGCTGGGGGACAGTGCGATCACTAGTACTTCCCAAACCAAGCTGACCATGTTCGCCCCAACCCCAAGTGTAAAATTGTCAATCATCTGTTGTTGCAAAATAAAAAAGAGTTTTAACTTAGGGTAAAATGCAGATTAATGCAGTGGGTTTATGAAATAACAAGTAAACCTGCCTGTCAGTATAGCTGAATGCTCAGCTCCGGCTGCAATTTGAACAACTTTCTTCCCATCTAGACCGGTTACTTTTGACAGATTGGGTTCACCTGAAAACAGGATTCACACAAAGAATTATGAAATTGCAGTAGCAATGAAATAAAAAAGAGAAAGAACAGGAAGACGGGAAAGTGGAAGCTCGGTATTAATGTAAGACTTAAGCACATTCAAATCACAGTAGAGTACTAGACAGGCAGCAATATCCAATTCACAATATAATTTAATTTTGCAGACACTGAAATAGTATATCCTGTGTCACATACAAAGAAGTAAACAGTTTAACCAAAAGTAATTGTCTAGCATGCCAACTTGGGAAACAACTGGATATAGGAGCTCTTTGAGGATCTTACAGTATCTTCTCAGAGAAGTTTGGTGTAACTCTTATAAACTTTTGCATCAAACGAAGTTTAAGTCAAGCAAAATATAATCCTAATTTCTGAAATTTTCGAGCCAGAAAATGAGGGGTAGAAAAAGTATACCAAAACAAACCAATTGGGGTGTTAAAAGACCATCTCAACCAAAAGATTAAGCTAATGGTTGAGGCCCATGTATATGTTTTATACTCTATCTATCTATCACACCCCCTCACACGAGAGTCCGTTGGGCTTGAAGTATTGATGCAACATGAGCCCTACTCATACCCAACGTGAAATATTCCACTTAAAAGTGGGGGGATGAGATTTGAACTCGTGACCTTTGTGTCACGCTAGCTCTGATACCATGTTAAAGGACTATCTCAAACAAAAGCTCAAGCTAATGGTTGAGACCTATGAATATGTTTTATACTTTATCATGGGGTTCTATCTTATTCACAAAATCCAGATTTGTATGCAGAAAATAATAACCGCATTACCAGATGTATTATGAAGGTGAGTCATCTTTTGAGGTTCGCTGAGCACTCCATGATGACTGCCTCCAAGCATAAAGACTTCCCCTTCACCTATTAGTTAGAGCATACAGTTGTTAGTCATAATTGTTACCTCACATTTAGCAAGTAGCAGATCAAATTAAAAAGCAAGTTCATATTTTACTTGTTAATACCAAGGCATGATTCCAACCAAGAGCAGCTTGCTCGAAGCTCAAAGATACACGCAGAAGCTGAGGAATACAAACATTTGAACTGCTGCTAAAACTTTTTCCCCATGTGTACAGCTGGCCACTGGCTTAAGATCAAATCAGAGTAAATAAGAGGTTTTTTTCATTTAAGTGTTTCCCCAAGTTTTGCAAATCCCATATTAGTATGAAGAAAGTACATTTTCTCACCTGACAACGCAGCACTTTGATCTCCGTTCGCAAGAATGGCCACCACTTCAGCATGTTCCAACCCAGAACACGTCTTGGGAATACTTACCGATTTTACTTTATCTTCATATACACCCAATTGACCGCGCTTACCGGATCCAAATCCAAACACCTTGTCTCCCAAATTACCTGCTTTAATTAATACCACTTTTCATGGATTTAAATAACTTCTAATATACTAAGGATGATTAGATACAGGGTACATAGTCTAGATTTCTACTCGTACTTCTTTTAGAAACTAGTCCCATCTTGAAATAAGTGCTAGCAGATAAACAGGAGACATGGAGAATCTTTCTATTAAGACCACACAATATAATTTTTAGCCAATAAAAGACTTTAAGCTTGCATTGGATGAGATTGAGCTTCAAAAATTACCTTTTAATAGTACCAATGAATGTCGCATGCCACAGGCTATCTGCTCTACATGCCTAGAGTTGAAAAATGAAACTTCCATTGGGGAACTGCAAGACTGATAATCACCATGGCCCAGCTGACCAAATGAGCCATCCCCACAAGTGAAGAGGCGTCCAGAATCTAACATAGTTAGTTTTTGGTGCCAATATAGCAACATATAATGACAATTTTCACCTCATAGGAAGTTAGGAATCTAATTTTAATAGTCCACATGACAAGAAGTTCGATAAACCACACAACACGGTAGAAAAACATTGACCATCAAAAGCATTCTATTACAAATTTATATAATTTGGGGCAGTTCAAAAGTAGATTGTCTCTATATTCCCTAGGGAACACATGCAAGAAAATGTACACCAGGGTTAGACAAGAATAAAATCCGGAAGTCCATAACATTTCCGTGTGACATATCATGTTACCCTAATACAACATTTGGAGATTTATCATTCTTATCTAGAGAAGGGTAAAAAGTGAAGATTTCACATCTGTAAAAGAAAACTCCAAAATTATAACTTATGTTAGTACATCTAATTATTTCACCTTAAGTACTAGAGTCAAATGCTCGATACTCTTGGCATATTTTCCGATACTTGGATAAGTAGCAACAATTGAGTCTGACATTATGAGATTTTTTGCGCTCAACGATTGTCAGAATCCATGTAATATACACACAAATGCTCATTTTTTTTTAATACAACTATGAATTATTGACAACCCAAAATCCCATATCAAATACATTACACATTACTATACAAATACAAGCATGCATGATTAGCTCTATCAAGCAACTTCTCAATAGAACAGCAAATTCCACTGCATCGACATACATCAAATCAAATTAAATCAGTACAAAGATTAAAATCACACTGCACATACATATATCAAGTCAATTCCAAGGAGCACAAAATAAACTTAAATTTACACTACATACTTGTGGTAGTCCATAATTCCATATGGTATGCACTACATTCTACAACTACTCATGAGTAGATTATCATAAATATGAATCATCAACAAGTCGAAATATCAAATAGTTTGATTGAATACTAACACAAATACACAAGCATGCCTAATCAATTGAATTGCAACTTACATAACACACATTTACAAATTCCAATCATACAAAACACACGAAAATACTGTAGCTGGTGAATAGTACTTTGTGGTGCTATTACATAGACACACTTACTTTTAATGAATTGCCGAAATTGCCCTTGCTTAGCCAGTTGCATTTGCTTGCCCTTCCATTGACTGCCAGCTAAGGTAGGTTGATGCTTGGGCTTGGCTGCTCTTTCTCATTCCTCAACTCTCCTTTTCACCGACTTCCTTCACTCTCTCTCTCAGAAACCTAGAGAGAGAAACCTTCGACACCTTCAGCAATCACCGATCATCCATTCGATGATGGTTATGGGGCTTCGGTTCTTCTTTGGGGTAAGATCTTTATCCTTTTAATAAGCATCTAATATCAATTTGACAATCTAGGGTTTAGCTTTAAATCCATAGAAGTCCACTAATCCTTTTTTGTGCTATGTTTTTTTGGGTAATTCTTCTTAATTAATAATCTAAATTTCGATTGAAAAATCAAAGGTAATTATTCTTAATTAATTTTCTGATTTTTGATTGAAAATCCGAACTATTTCTTGATGAAGGAGTGGTGATTTCACCCTTTTGATTTTGACCTGAGAAAGGAGAAAAGAGGAGAGAACTGGCTGAGTTTATATCTGGCGATGAAAGGAAAACTGCTGCTGAAGATACTTTGAATGCTTACAAGGCTGCTGAGGTTTGTGTGTTTTCTTTAATTTTTTTTGTTTTTTTTTTTTTCTTCTGGTTTTAGGGTTTAGATGTTTTTTTTCTTCTGAATAAAAGATTTAATTCGATTTGTATTTTTTATTTTGAATTTATTTTCTGATTTTGCTGCTCTATATACTGAGATATGGAAGAATAAGTGAGATTCGAGCTAACAATCGCTAATTAAAACAAGTGCATTTTGTATAATTGGTCGACTGACTGAGATTTGATACTTGTATATTGGTCGAATGACTGAGATTTGATACTTGAATATGCATATATTTGATGTATTTTGTATAATTAAGAAAATTCCTTCAGTTTTATAGGAGTATTTTGATGTATTTTAAGATTCTGGCATTTTAATTGGGGTTTGGATGTATTTTGGATATTTGAGTAAATTTCTGCAGTTTAATAGGAATATTTGGATTTATTTTGGATATTAGAGAACAATCCTGCAGTTTAATAGAAATATTAATGTGTTGTGTATACAATATCTGTTTCCTTTCTCTTTCTTGTTCTTATTGGTTCAATTTTCAACCCTTCTCTTGTTCTTATCACTGGCGATCTCACAGGTTTATTTGCCGTCTTGTTTTCTCCATTTTTGGTAAACTTTGATGTTATTGAGCTATGTTTTTGTAGGTTTTGCTTTGATTTGTAATGGGTTTATTGATTTTAGAATTGGGTTTGCTACTTTGCTTTAATTCTTAGAATTGTAGTTTAGATTGGTGCAATTAAAGGGTTTAAATTTTGAACTTGGAAGAATTGTTTCATTTGTTGTTAAAGATGAAATAATTATGAATTGTTGAGACATTGACTTTGTTAATCTTCATTTGTGGCTGACTAAGATCCTAGCATCGTGTTATTCAATAGCTAAAGATCAGATTTGCTTGGTGTATTTCTGAATGGGTTTTTGTTATTTTTACTTGTGTTTTTCTGATAGTGTAATTTTTTGGGATCTGATATTGTGATTGCAATTTTTAGTTGGGTATTTGTTAAGCTTTGATTTTTGTTGTAATCTACTTTAAAGTTGATTTAGTAATGCTACCATTTTTTATATGAGGTTTGAACTGTAAGTTGAAAGATTGATTTATTAGGGGATACTTAATTTCGAATTTTTTGATTGGAGATTGATTATTAAAAATTTTAACAGTGATTAATATTGAATTTAATGAACTAGGTATTAATCAAAATGGGGGTTATAGGTGACATTCCGGTAGCAGCTATTGAGGATGTAGAGCGCTGCTAGAAGGGAGAAAGAGGAACAAAAGGTCAGACTTATGTGATGTCTTTGCAAAGGTATAAATTTCAGTGGCCTGTTTGATCTGGTTTGATAATATGATCATGTTTTGATAAATTTGTGTTGTTGGAGTCCCTAATACAATTTATACCACAAATTAAGATACATCCTAAATACATAGTATTTAGATTTCCATTCAGCACCTATTTTACACTTGCAATTTGGATCTTGTTCATTTGTATAGTTAATATTTTGCATAACATATTAAAAATTGAGCAAGCTTTGTGTGTGCTCGATTGCAATGTTGTTTTTCAATTTATATTTGAAAAGAATAAGCATATAAAATTACCTTATCTCCTTTGCACAATCATACAATTTTCCTATTCTGTTATGAGGTCATGGAGTCTTGAAAGCCGTCTCTCTGTTAGTTGCGTAACCTTTATCTTCCCGACCCGATTTCATAATAGTGTAGCATGTTATCGATACTGCACATTTATGTATGTTAAAGACTTTGTAGTTTTATTTGTAGTCTTTTACTTATGTACTAAGTCCTAGCTCTGAAGTTATGAAAAAGAAAAGAGTATATGTTGAATATTAATGCGAATTTGGAGTACTATAAAGTAAGTATCCTATTTTCTTTCTTTTGCAGTTTTATCATCAGTTTCAGGGCTTCAAGTTGCGGAAACGAAACTAAATGAGGGTTAGTCACTGTACTGACCTCTATTCTTTGTAAATGCTGAAATTCTTAGTTATGCAGCTCATGTTGGAGCATCCAAATATATTGTTAGTAACATTATTGTCTGATTTGTAACAAAATTGTTTATCTACAGGTACCATTCTAACTCCCCTTTCTCTTTCCTGTTCGAATTGGTTCAATTTTCACCTAACCTTTAATATGAATAGCTTACTTGTTATTTTTTTCCATATCTTTCCATTTTCTCCCAATATTTTCTCTTTTTAATTTGCTTATATGCATATGGTGTTTGCTGCCAAAATTTATACTTTCAAGTTTGATATTGCTATTGTGAGTGACTATAGAGGGTAGCTGTTGTTTCACGCTGTTGCCGCTGTTATTCTGGTGCTGCCTGTTACTGTTGTTCTGTTCGTCCAAAAATCATCGACCTGAAGTTGTTTTTAGCTCATAGTCTCTTAATCAATGTTTTAGATCTCAAAAAGTTACTCAATCTAGGCTCAAGAATTTCTCGATTTGGAGTTGTGTGCTAGGAGTTCTGCCTTCTGGAATTTACTACAATCTGCTACCCTGGTTCTATCGCAGCGGACTGTTATTACTCATTTGATGCCTATGTGGTGTTGTTGTGTTGGGTTGGTTGGGGTGCTAAAATGAATGCTTGGGCTTCTCTTATTTATTTTGTCTTCCCTCTTCCCTTTATTTACACATTAGTTATAAAGTTAAAATGTGGGCAATTTTGATTAATAACTATTTGGATAATGACTAATTGATAATTTGCCAAAGTGATGAGGATAAATGTATATGTTAAATTTTCAAATGTGTGAGTGACTAAAGTTAATTAGTTTAAATGTATTGAAGGGTTTAAATGTTTATAAAATAGATTTGATGAACGAACACTAATCTTCCCAAGTTTATTTGTCACTCTTAATTAACTTCAAAATTTTGTATTACATGAGCCTTTTGTTGTTTTTATTAAATGAGGTGAGAAAATATATATGTAAAGGTTTGTACATGTGGTATGTCTAGATAAGGGTTGTGTTCTACTTATATATCAAGTGAGTTTGGGAAGTATTAAGGAGTCAACAAAGAAGTCATGTTTGATATGATAGTCTCCTTATAATTTATTAATATATATGTGAGAGTAATTTACACCATACAACTGATAACTTGAGAATCCTTTATCTTTTCTACTGTAATATTAGCAGCAATTGCAGGTTGGTGCAAAATAATGCAGTGTTTGAAGTTAGTCTTGTGCTTCTATAACAAAAATGAAAATTCAACTACGTGGGCCCTCCTTGACTCCATATCAACTTAACTACCGAAAAAGCAACCTGGACATTCTTGTTAGAGTAAAGAGGTTAGTCTTTCAAATATATTCACTCTTATCTCCTGTTTTTATATGTCAACTATGTGTGTCGTTTCCTGCTTGAATTTAATGATGGTGAGCAGGATCGTGAACCTTTGTATTTGAAGTAATAATTAGTTTTTATTCAAAATATGTGCAAAGTTAGATCATTGTTAGACCTTGCATTTCTATGAATCTCCATGAGCTTGTGAGGCGATGGATTCTAAAAGGATATCAAGCTCTTCTGTTTGAGATTATTACAAATATACTACTCTTCTAGACTTTTTGTTCTTGAGCACTTCAATTAATTTACATCTCTGCTTTCTTTCTTTATTTTCTTGATTTGTATGTATTAAAAGCCTGCCAATGGCCCAATACTCATTAAAGCTTAGAGAGTAGTCATTACTTTAGGAAAATAGAACTCATCGCGATCACCAAACAACGTAGTCATGACCCGAAATTGAATATTGTTTATGTCATTTGTCATTTATGACTTTATCTACTCCTAAATAATGTGTGCTACAAAACTAACAGAAGTTTCTAAAGTGCACATAAGGAAATAGATGACTTAATGTTCCGAAGATTCCTCTTACTTGTAATCTTGTGAAGAAGACGGGTTCCATGTTCTTAAAGTATTTGAAAAGGAGGCAGACTTTTCTGCCTAAAGTTTGTCATAAGATAAGAGAAACATTAAGACCTTTCCCATAACAAAGTTTTTCTAGGAGGCATAGATAAAAAAAAAAAAAAAAAAAAAGGACACCCTACTATGATTGCGTTCGCAGGTGGGCATTACCTAAATTCCAAATCTGGTCGGGGGTCTTGATGAGTTTAAGCGTACGTCTCTTCCTGTTTCTTTGACTATTTAGATTGCTCACTTATACTTCAGTTGCAACTATCTACATCAATGTTTCTGCTATTCATACTTGTTTTGTGTGTTTTTATACAGGTCTTCTTGTATAAAATCTTGATGATCTGTGAGCAATAATGTACCCCTCGAATCTGTCAGCTAGCTGAGTTGTAGTAACTCTAAAGTTGCTGTAGTTCTCACTCGCTCGCTCTGCTTTGTGTTGAGTTTCAGGGGGTAAAGAGGAGAAGATCGAGAGGAAGACAATCTCAGAGAAGTTCTCAAGCACTCTGCTCAAATGCTTTTGGAGCTCCGAACTTCATAATAAGTATCTGTGAGTGACTTCTTGCTTTCACGGATTTTTTTTTTTTTTTTGTTGTTGTGCTTGTATGAATTTAACTGTATTTTATAACTATCATTATTAATATTTAAAGAAAGATTTTATTGACAACCAAATTTCTGAACATTTAGGCTTTGTTACTATAAATAGAGAAAAAAAATCAATTCTTTATTTTGTATAATGTAGCCATCAAGCTTACACTCTCTTTTTCTGGCTTGCTAAATTGTTGCTTCTTCGTGTTTCTTCTGCACATCCTATGTGCCTTGTTCTTGAGTAGGCTTGGGATGAAGGCATCATTGGCATTCCAGAATAATGGTGCTGAATGAATAGTGGGTTCTATGAATTGTTTTTGGGTTTATTTCTAAAGATATACTGCTTTGGTAAAACCTCTCATCTTCTTATGATGCTTTGCCTTATACAGTACATTTATATTTAGATTATAGAAATTGGCAGCACATTATTCTTTTCGTCAAACATGATAGACAATGAACTTGCTTATTGCCTGTATATATTAAGCATTTTTGGTTAATGGCTGCTCGTACAGGCTCTCATGGGAAGACCCACAATTTTCTATGGAATGCTTATTGTGTGATTTCTTATATTTGATTTCTGATCGGACGTGTATGCAGCTTAGTGTTTTTTGTTTTCGCGTTATATATTTATATTGTGCCTTGTGGATGTAAGTCTAGGCCATGCTTTTCCCCATAGATCTATCGCAGATTAAGTGTATAAGCTGTTAAAGGCAGCTAGAATAATAGAATTAAGTATCTTGAATTTAAAGCATCAGCTTTTGCATATGCCTTCATCATCATTTAGATATCTTAAATATATGTCCGCAAGTTAATACATTATTTGTTCTTTTTTGTTTGCTTATCTATGTAACTGATATATCTGCAGGTTAATAATTTGGTGGTTACAAATATCTCTTAATATGGGTGACATTCAGAATGCTCCTCTTTCAGAAGAGGAAACTACTTGTAGGTTTCTTTTGTATGAACTTCAGGTATATATATGAACTTCAGGTATAATACAAGCTAATAGTGTACCGTGTTATCATCTGTGATTAGCTCTATTTTTTTATTCTACTGTTTTATTCAGATAATTTGGGATGAAGTGAGCAAGCCTGAAATATTAGGGCCAAGATGTTACTTGTAGGAGTGGAGCACGTGCTTAAAGGCGCCAAGAAGACAAGGATACAACCATACTCTCGGATGGTAGATGAAGCATGTGTGAGATGGTGATGGTGTTATAGGTTGAGGTTATGGGATTTAATTTCATTTGTAGTACGAGTAGTATTTAATTTATAGTTTTAAATGGTAGAAATGGATAGAATTAGATACGTAAATGATGAAGTAATGCAAGAGCATATAAGTGAATATATGAGAATAATGTGTACTTGTTTTCAACTTCAATATGTGTACTGTGATTTTAGTAGAGAAATTATATCTTTGTTCTTGAGGCTAGGTATCAAGTTGGTGCTTTTTTTTTTAATTAATTTTGAGAAAAGAGTTTAATATCAAATTGATTAATAATACATTTAATACAAAAGAAAAAAATAAAAAATAAATAAACTCAAATTTATAAGGTATAATGAGATAGTTTGCGTAGAAATTTAAGTTGATTGTAGTAGTTAGTAGAGGAATTATATCTTTATATATCTATTTGATTTAAAATCAACTAAGTTTTAAGATTTACAAGGTATTGAGATACTTTATGTAGAAATTCAAATTGATTAGTTAAAACTACATTTTAAACAAAAAATCAACCTTAAGGTAGATAGATTAATGCTAGATTCCTAAGAAGTTAGTTTCTTTAGTTTGCATAAATATCCATACACTCGAGGGAGACCTATAAGTTTTGAAGTCATAAAAGAGAAGGAGATAGAGACTAAGAGCATGTTCACATTTACTTAATTTCAGTTCAGTTCAGTTCATCTCCTAATAATTTCCCTCTCTCATAAAATATTCATTTCAGCTCAATTAAGTTCATTTCAGTTCAGCTCCAATCAGTTCAGTTCAGTAAATGTGAACAGGCCCTAAGAATGAGAAATAGAGGGTTTTGGAAAATAAAGGAAGGATGGAGAAACGGTTTAGAGTAAGAAACTGACAATACTTATCAATCACATTTCACCGATTAGCTCTTGCTTTCTTGCAATTTAACTAAATTCAATTCACATAATACAATAAACAATCATACAAAGTGAAAAATCTTACCAAGTCAGTGTGTAAAAACACATCTACAAAGTTACGTGGACAACGCAAATACTTTTTTTGGGATTTGCATGACCATACGAGAGAAAGAGAGAGAGAGAGCGTTTGATCTCTTTAATATTTGTACAACCATAATTATAGATAACTTTAGAAAGATAGAAGTAGGAGGTAGGAAGGGGGAGAAGGAAACGGAGTGAGAGAGACTAAAGAAAGGAGAGAAAGAGATATAGAGAGTAAGAAATAGGAGACGAAAAAAAAAGGGGGGGGGAAGGAATAGAGGGGCCGAGAGAGAAAGAGGGGGCTAGGAAAGAAAAAGGCTAGAAGAGAGAGAGAGAGAGAGGAAAAGAAACCGGAGAGAGATAGAGAGAAGGGGGTTGAGTGACAAAAGTGCAAGGAAAAGGAGCAAAGGCAAGACCGAGAGAGGGGGAAAGGCCTAGGGGGTAAGAGAGAAAAGTGCTATGAAAGAGAGGGAAGGTGGGCTTAATGAGGAACAGAGAAAAGCAAGGCCATAAGTTAAGAGTAAAGAGCATGTCGGGGGATAGAGTGAGCGAGAGAGAGAAGGGTCAAGAGGAAGGTGGCTAAGAGAATGAAAGGTCATCTAAAAGGAGGAAGGAGAAGAAGGACATAGAGACCGAGAAAGAGACAATGTGAGTTTGAGGAAATTTAAAAAAAAAGGAAGGAGAGATAAAATACTTTTTAAAAACTTTCTAAAATACTCAATTATAAGACATAAATGAATGTTAAAAGGATAGAGAAATAGAGTGACCAAGAAACAATAAATAGAAATCGACAATTAGATTTGGACAAACTTCAATTCTTTCAGTAAATGTAATTTATTAACAAATGTGGTTTTGTGACAATTATGAAAATGTTAACTAATTTGTAGCACTTTTAGAATAAAGTGTTCAACCTTATTGTCATGTAGAAACGTGCTAGATTCACAAGTATGTTTATATAACCATAGTAATAGATAGTTTTTAAGAGAAAGGATGGAAGAAGGATTGAGGAAGGAAAAGAGGGTAAGAGAAGGAGGGTGTGGGAGGAGGAGATAGAGGAAAAAGGGGAAGGAGTGGGAGGAGGAGAGAGAAAGAGTGAGGGAGTAGGAGGGGAGAGAGAGAGGGGTAAAGAAGGAAGGAGTGGGACGAGAGAGAGGGGGGGTGAGAAATAGAGTGAGAAAGGTCAGGATAGATTAAGATAGAGATGATCCAGCAGGAGAGGGAGAGAGAGGTAAGGGTCGGAAGAGAAAGAAATAGAGCAATTAAGAGAAAGAGAGGCAAGGAGAGAGAGAGAGATAGAGTGACAAAGAGAGAGAGAGAGAGGATGGCTTACTAAACCGCTCAAACTATACAAGAAGAGTGGATAGGAAGGATAAAAAAGGAACAAGAAGGTGAAAAAAGCAAGGATGAATAGAAAAGGAAAATGACAAAAGACAAGGAATAAATATAAGAGAGAGGTTATATTATGAAGGAAGAAGAGATTGAAAGAACTTAAAACCAAGTTAGTGACTACCACACAAATAAGATCCCCTAATCATTATGTTAATAACACCCCAAACTACGAAACACGATCACAACCACGAATCTTATATATTTTACGCGGGGGGGGGGGGGGGGGCACGCGCGTAGTGCATGTTCCAACGACTATAAACTTAAATATAAAAACTATAAAGTTATTCCCTCCAACTGTATTATCTAAAAATCGTACATCAAATGATTTATAGATAAATAACCAATAAATAAACTTTAATATATACACATATGATATTTCTCATTCATTTTATACATTTCATATCGATTACACACTCTAACTACTAAAATTTTCAAACCACTCGAAAATTTTCTACTTTAAAAAGTCTAACAAACAAATATACAATACTTTTGTATATTTTACATTTAATTCATTTTTCATAACTGTATCCTTTATTGTTGCATTTCCTTATAACTACTACTTATTATCACAATTATTCTAAAACAAAGCTATTCGAAAATTATTTAGATACTCATCAATAAGAAACTATATTGCGTTTTAAAATAATATCTAAACCAATACTCCCTCCGTCCTTTAATAGAATGCCTCTTTCACTTTATTATGTGAGGAATAAATGCTCAAAAGAGGCATTATATTAAGAGAAGGAGGGAGTAATATATTTTTTTAAGAATCTTTAAAATATAGCAAATTCTAGATAACTTCACTTATAACAATTTGTTTTTCATAGATATTTTCCAATAGACACTTTATCACTACTCCTTATTACTTATAAATTCATGTGTCCCTGCTATTACAAAATCCAAACACAACCACGAATATCACAACAACCGAACACAGCCACGAATTTTACTTAGCCGTCGGGGGCACGCGCAACGCGCGTGCTCCAACGACTAGTCATACAAAACACACATTTTGATATTTACCAAAAAACAAATGTTAATTCAAATTAACACAAAACATAAGAAAAGCATAAAAATAAACCTGAAACAAAACCAGAGTGATTCCAACCAGCAGAAACGTGGGAAATATTGAAATTTGTCAATGAATCCACAAGTTTAGGGTACAAGCAATTAGGCATAATCTGACCAAGTCCCAATTGCCCAGATGCTCCTCTACCCCAACTCAGGACCTTCCCACCTGCAAATCAACATCAAATCATAATTACCAAAATACCCTTCAATTGAAAACCCTACAAAATTGAAGAAAAAGATTGGATTTTTATTCATAGAATTTGTACCAGAAGTGAGGGCAATGACATGGGCACCACCATAAGAAAGGAGAGAGATTTGACCAAAAGAAGAGAGAGAATTGGAGAGGTTGATGAGAAGTTGAGGGGTAAATTCGTCTTTTAAATTCCCAGTTCCAAGTTGTCCTTCTGTTCCTGCTCCCCAACTCCATAACTCTTGCTGTTTGAGTTCTTTCGTATGCTTCTGCGTTGTTTCTGTTGCATTTTCTCTTTCTTGTTGTTCTTCTTCGTTGATTTCTTTTTGTTTTTTGACAGCTTTTTCTTGTTCCTCCATTGCTGCTTGCCTGCTTTCTAAAGACTTGTTCGGTTAAGAGAAATTTTTGTAATTTTGGCCTTTCGGGGTAACTGGGTAAGTAATGGGTATTTTGGGAATTTCAGGGTAAAAAATAATGGGAATTAAAATTTTTTGAAAAGTTGTTAAAATGTTTTACCAAAACAATGTACCCCCTCCATGTTTTTTTAAGTGTTACACTTTAATCGAAAGATAGTTTTAGACAATTTATTTAACTTAAATAAAATAGGAGGTAAGCGGGGTAGTTAGAGTATTAAAAAAGTAGGTTAGTCTTGTGCGATGCACGATTTAATATTTGTTTTCCTTATTTATTTGTATGTAATACATATTTAAGAAAAAAACACTAATTAATCATGTGTCTTCTTATTAGATGAAATTGAGCTATAACCAAAGAGATGATGTTAAATATAGAGTATTATAATCACATATTATACTATATGCTTCGTAATTTAAATAAAATTTAAAACTTATTTATAAGATGTTAGCATTAATTCGCTGGTTTATCTTTCATTAATTATATTTTTTTTTTTTAAAAAAAAAAAAAAAAAAAAAAAAAAAAAAAAAAAAAAACTAATAAGGAATGAAAACACCAAAAACAACACTATAAATGTATAAAGTAGGAGGAGATAAATCTTATAAAATAAAGGATAGAATCCATTCCAACGAATAAAACCAAATAACTATGGACTAGTATGTGTGTACAAAAAAACTATGGACTAGTATGGCATGAGTTTTAGAATCCATACCTATTTAAGGCGTATTCACTTCGGCTTAATTTCAATTCACTTCAACTCCTAGTTTCCTTCTCTCATAAAATACTCATTTCAGCTCAGTTCAAATTTGTTCAGCTCCAGTCATTTTAGTTCAGTTCAACTTAATTCAGTAACATGTAAACATACCCTTAGTATGATAGTTCATATCAATTCATTCAAACTTGATGTACTAAACACCCCCTTAGAACTGAGAGCCTATTATGTATACCCGAGGTCATTTACTCATTCAATCAACAAATGAGTAAAAAATATTATTTGGTCATTTGTTAATTAAATGAGCAAATAATCCCGGGTATACGGTACACCCGGGTGTACATAACAAATTCTACTAAGAACTTGTTACTACAATAGTTTTTTTATCAAGTTATTAATTTTTTGGATCCAACTATACGGTAACATGTAAACCCAAATCTTTCAATTCAAGCCTAAATAATAATAATAATAATAATAATAATAATAATAATAATAATAATTGGTGACACTATGGTGGTGGTGAAGGTTCTGGAGTTGATTATGGAGGAAGGGTCTCATTTTGGGTTACATCTCAATGTAGAAAAAAACCAAAGTTTATTGGCCATTAGAGGACCCTCGAAGCAGGCTTGTGGGTGTTTTTCCGCCTAATATTGCTCGACCTTCTCATGGTGTAAAGTTACTTGGTGGTCCCACTAGTTCCGATCCCGATTTTGGAGGTGATCTTGTGATGCAGAGGGTGTAGACACCCATTTGTGTCTCCCCAAAACCAAACCCAGTGATGAGTACCTTTCACGTCGAATCATAATCGAATGAAACGAAAGTGTGGAAAGGTTTAGTGTTGCGGAAAGTTTTATTTTATTTTCTTTTCTTTTCTCTTCTCTCTGTTTTTGAAAACTTTATTTTAAGAAAACAGTCAATCCAGTTTGGTTGGTCCATGATATGGGTCCAATAGTGGTGTAGTTGGATGGGGCTTGCAAAGACCTTTCCAACGATATATTATAAGCCCAATTTCGATGAATATTGAGGAATTTATGGCCAATTTACTAAACTGGGCCCGGTTTGAGTTTTAAGTACGGCCCAATGATCTAGGGGAGGGCCTAATATGATTTATCATTCCTAATGCAATTAGGAATGGTTTTGGTCTTCTAGAACATTCTAGAAGGTCTTATCATTCTTAATTCAATTAGGACTCTTCAGAGTTTTAATTAGATCAAATAGCATTTTCGACTGAAATTATATTATTTTATCTTCCGGTACAATAAAATTATCAGATTTTCGAAAACGCGTTAAAATCCAGTTTGGCGTCCAACCCCAGGCCTTGGCGCCTGGAACCAGGATTGGCGCCAGACGTCAGCCATTGGCGCCTGGCGCTAGCCACTAGTCCTAGCGCCAATGAGCCAGGGCTGGCGCCAAGGTGGTTTTGTGGTCTTCAGACTCTGTTTTGATAAATTATCTTTTTTGGATGTTTTTTTAAATATCGTATCAAAAACTCCGTTTTCAATCATCATCTACATCTATCATTCACCAACTATCTTCATCATTCACCAAGATTCACCAATTCTCTTTATTCTTAAGTTTTAATCAACTCTCATCAAGATTTTCTTGATTATTCTCTCTTTCTTTTCTAAACTAGCCTTTTCTCAAATACAAAATTCCGCATTCACAAGATCTAGAAACACTTAGCCATATTCGAAGTTGCCTTCGCCCTAGACGTGAAAGGTTTTAATTTCTGAGGGTTTGGTCCCAAATCTCTATTTATATTATTTAATTTAATTGTTTTGATTATTATTTTCCTTGAAGTTACTAACGTGTGTACTTTGTTATTAGAAAGAGGTACGAGGCATCCAAGTAAGTACTTTAATTAATTAATTGATATTATGATGTAGAAATCATGTTTATATTGTTGTTATGATATTCCTAGTATCATGTCTAGGTTAATTTTAATATTAAATATGATTTCTATGATGCTTCCTATGTTCTTCCTAATATTTATGATTATTAGTATCATGTTAGGGCTAAAGCTTTGATTTTTATTGCTTAGTGACGTGCTAGGGTTTGTTATTAATTTTGTTAGTATCATGCCTAGGATCTTGCTATGCTTTAACATGATTATGATTATCATTGATTATTATTATGATATTATTATTATTATTATTAATGATGTTGATTATTTATTATGTTGCTTGATATGTATTATATTTTATGTTGTTATTGCTTGATCACCTTTATTGCATGTTTAAAGGGAATTGGTATTTGCAATCACGCTTAATAAGATAATTAATAATCTTGTTAGGTTAATTGTGATTATAATTCAAGTGATCACCAATAATAGTTTATTTGTGCATTAAATTCAACCAACATAGATTAAACAGGTTTAGGGTTAATCTATTGATTGTATGTTAGTCAGAAAGCGCGCATGAATACGAGCAGAATAAAGTAGAGGCCTATTATTAGGGCAGGTTCAATCTCTTTTAGGTTGGATTTGTACCATCATCCCCAAACCCTTATTTGGTTCATGACCTTATGGAGTTGACGATCTCTTGGATCGTTAGTGGGTGTAACCTTCACCTCGTGAACGGTTTACAAGTTCCTTAAAAACTTGTTGGCGACTCTTTTGCTCTATCTTCTTCCCTTTTGGACGCCACCGTACTTTAGTGTATGATCACAGTGGGGTTCAAGCTAGTGGGATTTCAAAGGCTTGAAATTATTCCCTACAGAGGGTGACTAAGATCATTTCTCTTATGGATAGGGTTTCTAAGCTCGATGATCCCCAGTGTGAGTTGTTGTTGCTTAGGGCATGTACTGGAGTTTCTAAACTCTACTTTGCTTTGCGTACTTGTCCTCCTAGTACTTTTGAGGTGGCTCAGTGTGCTTTTGACGAGGCTCTTCGATATTTCCTGGAGCGTGTCGTGACTGCTTCGGGGCCTGGTTTTGGCGATTGGCAGTGGTGGCTTGCCACCTTACCATTTGCGTTTGGCGGACTTGGTGTTTATTCTGCAGGTGATGTTCGTCATTATGTTTTTCTTGCCTCTCGGTTACAGTCTGCTGTTTTGCAGACAAAGCTTCTATGACATGTTGGTGTTGTTGGCCTTAATCGAGCCTTCGCGGATGCGTTGCTTTTGTATAATGGAATGGTTGAGTCTGAAATTTTGAGTAATCCTAGTGAGATCACTGCCCCTAAACTCATGAAGAAATTGACAGATATATATTTCACAAAGGTTACCGCATTTTCATAATCCACCTTCCCTTTATCTCCTCGTCAATCAGCATTGTGGAAATCGCAGCAAGGAGTTCACACTTCTGCTTGGCTTCGGACTGTCTCTATTTCTGGGTTGGGTCAGACGATGAACGCAATATATAAGTAATGGAAGCCCCAAATGGCAAGCGGTTTTAAAAATTCGCTTGCCATTTACCCAATTTTTGTAAAATAAACCTGTAATATTAAATGGCAAGCGGTTTTGGCGCGAACCGCTTGCCAATATATATAATGACAAGCGGTTTGGGGTTGAACCGCTTGCAATTAGATATATTGGCAAGCGGTTCAACCCCAAACCGCTTGCCATTTAGGAAAAAAAAAACCGAGATCACAAACCCTAAGCCAATAAATGCCCACACATTCTCACGGCCTCTCTCTCCTCTCTCCCCTTTCACCCCTATTTCCAGTTCTCTCTCACTCCTCTAATTTACTCTCCTTTCTCCATCTCCTTTTCTTAGCTTTCTCTCTCATCTCTTTCTTTCCTTTCTCACGCCAAGACCCATTGGTGCTTGTGGGTTTTTGAGCCAATTTCGGTGATAGTCCGGTGGGTTTTCGAGCGAATTCCGGTGGGTTTTTGAGCCAATTCGAGCCATGGGTTTTCGACAAATTTGTGTGGGTTTAAATCGTGGTAGTCCGGTGGTGGTGCGTGTGGGTTTTTATGGTCGAATTCGACAATAAAAACTCTTGATCTAGAGTTTTTATGGTCGAATTTGACCCATAAAACCCAAATTTAAAGCCAATTTTGATTTTTTGGTGGTATTCAAGGTATTTCCTTTTTTTTTATCTTTTATTTTGTTTTTTTAGTGTTTTTTTTAATTTTATTGTGATGGGGGGTTGAATCGGTTTGTTTCAGGTCAATTTGTTGTTGGTGGGGTGTCGTGGTGGGTGGTGGTGTTGGCCGGTGTTCTGGTGTTGGTGGGGGTCGTGGGTGGACGGGTGGTGGTGGGTGGTCGTGGCTGGTGGGTGTTCTGGTATTGGTGGGGGTCGTGGCTGACGGGTGTTCTGGTATTGGTGGGGGTCGTGGTGGGTGGTCGTGGCTGGTGGGTGTTCTGGTATTGGTGGGGGTCGTGGCTGACGGGTGTTCTGGTATTGGTGGGGGTCGTGGTGGGTGGTCGTGGCTGGTGGGTGTTCTGGTATTGGTGGGTCGTGGTGGGCCGGTAGTGTTGGTGGTCGTGGCTGGTGGTACGAAGCAACATAAGCTTGGTTTTTCTTTTTTTTTTTAATAGAGCTGATTTTTTTTTTTGTATTAGTTGTATTAATTTTATTACTTGTATTTTTTTTTTGATGTAAATGTAATATTACAACAAATAATTAATAAAAATATTAATGTTTTTACATATGTTTGGTTTGTGTATCAATTTATGTGAAAAAATCCAAAAAAAATAATTTTTTTTTTTAATTTTTATACCCATAATGGGCAGCGGTTTAGCGCCAAAACCGCTGCCCTTTCTCTAGTAATGGCAAGCGGTCAGAACCGCTTGCCATTTAAATGGCAAATGGCAAGCCCCCTAAGCGCATGCGGCTCAAAACCGCTTGCCATTACGTTTATTCTACTAGTGAGTGTTACCGGTTGGGCGTTCCATTGTTCTCTGTCTCGATACCGTGCTCTGTTTGTTCTCGGGTTTTTTACTAGGGATATTTTCGGCGACCACGTACACTACAAGATATTATATCAAAGAGGGCAATTTAAATCGCCCTCTTAGGTTCAAATTTCTCCCTATTAGGCAAAGAGGGCGATTTTGAAATCGTCCCCAAGTAGCCCTATTAGCTTCAAAGGGCATACAAATTTTTCTCCCTCTTTGTTAAATATCAAAGAAGGCAAAAAATTTCGCCCTCTTTGATCAAAATCAAATAGGGCAAAATTTTCGCCCTCTTTGATTGAATCAAGCAAGACGAAAATTCTTTTTGCCCTCTATAAAACAACTCAAACAAGTCAATTCATATTGCCCTCCTAGCTCAAAATTCGCCTTGTTTGATCAAATTTTAAAGAGCAAAATCAAAGTCGCCCTCTTTGTTCAATTTTTTGTTTTTTTTTTTTTAAAAAAATAATTCTAGGTGCCAATAGGCATAAATTTTCTATAATAGGTGCTAATAGGCATAAATTTTAATTTGGTCATTATATATATGTATTAACCAAGTTTTCTAGCAAATATATACAAAAGTATTAACCAAGTTTTCTATCAAGCAATCTTCTCATCCTTGCAACCAGCCTTTTGGTGTCCTCCATCCCCAAAACATTGATTTGACCCCCTAACTACAAACTTGACAAAAACAAAACTAATGTAAATTAATAAAGGTCATCGACAGCTTCTTCTTCTAAGCGCTTTTTACCCTTTGGTCGACCAGATCTTTTCACATCCGGTCCATTAAGTAACAGCAAAGCTTTCTTCATACCAATATCATTAGCAATCACACTCTGCATTCATGAAGGAAAATAGATTGATCCATCAATCACTAAAGCAATGAACAAAAAAAATAAAATAAAAAACAATTCTCTATAGTTGTTTAGATAATCAAAGCTGCAGATGCCTTCAGCAGTTCAGCCAAAATCCATTGGTATCAATCTTAAATACCAAGTAAAAAGACGCTCACCACCACCAACAGCAACAACAATAGTAATAAACACATTATGGTGAATGAAAAAAGGCTCGTATCTATATGACTATATGCTACGAAACAGATTGTAGTAGACAGAAAACACAAGAGTATTATTCTACAATATTCACAGCTCTTTCCAACTGGTCTCGACATAGTTCATTTTCTTTTGGTCTGCAAACATGTTTATATTCAGATACAGAACGGGCAAGCGAGTGTATAAGTTTAGCCACTTTGCTAGGATAATTTTGAGGTGAAGCAGGTACTGAGACAAAAAAAATGAGGATATAGAAGGTTGATGTTTAAATTAATGTTGTTACAGAAAAAGAGAAGAGCACGAAAAGCAATATTAGACTTCTCGTTCTAGGTCTGAAAATTTCATGCAACATAGCTAGCACAAGACCAAATTATTATCCCATTTTAATCCCATAAACAGGAGGTTTGGAAGTTAAATCCTTTTTTCCATAATATAGAAGGTTATATCAATTTGTCCTCAAAATATGAGTACCATGACCGTATATGTGCACTTATAGAGGCCTATATTCATGAGATCATGACTGATAGGCAACAATAACAACTAATCCTATCAAAACCACTAGCAAAAAAACAGGCAAAACACAGAGCATGAAATACAAGGCTGAAACTGTTGATACTTTACTCGAACATAAAAAAAGAGAGTATTGATTCAGTTACTGAGAAAAACATATATAAAAGAGCAAGCAACAGAGGTAAACAAGTTGGAAAAAACAGCAATGTAGGACGTTCTGTCATGTTTAGTACCATGTATACATAAGAATATTGAAATTCAAGGAAACATTCATGGCTTGAAAATGCATCCACAAGGCAATTTTATGCAAAGAGTGAGCTAGAAAATATTACCTCTATCAAGCATCAAGGCCAATCTTCTCCATGATTAACCGAAACTTTTGTTCTAGGTCTTCTTCAATTCAGCTCGCATAATATTATTTTCATTTTGTAGTTTTTCAACATTATGTTCCAGTTCAGCTCTTCCTATCTTTCCATCTTTAGACGACACCGGGTGCCCTTTGCCTAAACCACGGGCATAACCTGAACGATGTCCAAGAACCTTCACATAAGCTTCTTCAAGAGTAAGATTATCAACCCCCTTTTCACCAATTTCTTTCTCATGCAACTCCCTTAATTCCTTGAACTTCTCCTCGGCCTCATCGTCAAACTTCCCATTTTTATGCCTTACAAGATAAAACAAAGTCAGAATTTTAAAATAAAGAAAAACAAAGTGTTCGTGCATTAGACAAATATTCAATATACCTCTTTACTTCTCCCATAACTTTAAATACATGGGATCATCATTAGCTTGGGATGCAGTGGTTACATTTGAACTAGAACCATTGATTTCGGTGACCTCATTCTCATTTTCACAAGCTTGTGCCTCAAGTTCCTATCAAATCATATACTTACACTTATTAATTTCAGCAAGATCAATCCATTTAGGAAACAATAATAATCAGAGCAACAGAACCAAAAATGTGAGCCAGAAGATCATCATGATGTAACCACAATGAAAATTCCACCAACAGACTGTGTTACTAATTGGTAACTGATTATTTGATATCGAAATTAAAGGGAAACAGAACCAGAAATTAAGATTAGGATGGTCAGATTAGGATGGTCAGAAACAGAAACAAAATCAGAAGATCATCTAAATGATTAAGCCCTTTCTGCTGCTAGGGTCAGATTTCTGAACCATCTATCCAATAGATTAATTTTAACATTTATACTCACCAATTCATAAATTATGCAAGTTTTTGATTTCGCACCACATGCCGACTTGATCTTCTTTGCAAGAGCATTAGCCCGATTCTTCTCACTCCTTTCCTAAAGGTTACAAAATAGCATATAGGATTAGTAAAGGGGAAGAAATGCAAATTGCAGAATTTTGATTATAAGAGCATTCCTACTACTTACCTTCTGCTTAGGGGAGCTCCAATAGTTATAAACAAGCCACTTCCATTGGCCAAGATTTATTGAAGGTGGGCAAGCATGCTCCGCCTCTAATAAAGATTTTGTATTTGAAAAATAGTCAGCCTTCAACCTTTCTCTCTAATGCCTATAAAGGGTGGAGCATTGAATCTTTATTGCTTTGCGAATGTGTGCACCTTCACCCAATTTGTACTTTGACTACAATTCATACGTAGTGTCGTGTACTGGTATTGTGGGTATTAAACATCAACATAATGTTGTTCGGGATACCCTTGTTGATATTAGCTACAGATCTGGGATTTCGGCAAGAAAGGAGGTTGACATAGGATTGTCTGGAGGGAATGATGGGCCCTCAAACCTGCCGATGTGTTACTTTATACATGGGATCGTGGTGTGATGTATGTGTCGACTTCACAGGGTCTTCTCCTTTGACACAGATAGGGTTAGCTGATTTTGTTCCTGGACGGGTTGTGGTTGATGCGGTTCAGAGGAAGCGGTTTAAGTATGAATCTCGTTGTCGGGAAAACCTTCTCCTTTTCTTCTCTTGAAGAATTAGAGAAGGAAGTTGTAACGTTGCTGAAGTGGATTCAGAGGTTCTCGATGACGCAAGACATTGGGGCTCGTGCGGCAACTCATATTTTCACTAGGATAGGCTTTGCTATAGCTAGAAGAGTGGGGGCCCATATTGTATTTCGGCTTCCCACTAATTTATTGTAGGTTGTATGACTATTGTTTTTGAGAAATAATAATAATAATAATAATAATAATAATAATTGTAGATATATAAAATAAATTTGCTAAATAACTACTTTTGGTATGTTGTATTTGCTAGTTATAAATTCGTTATCATCCCTGTTTTTTTTTTTTTTTTTGAAAAACTCCAAAGTATATCGAAAGAGAGGTACCACAAATCCAAACCAGAATCGAAACCTACAGGTTTTGGTTTCGATTCTCATTTTTAGGAACTTTTTTTTTTGACAAAACCTGCAGCTTAGCTCATATTATTAATTTTCCAAAAGTTCAATATCGTTACATAAAACCCCCTGAATTTCAGTGGGATACTCTTCAAGCCAAACACGATACTCACTATAATTAAAACTTAATTTTGCTAAGCTATGAGCAACCACATTGCCAGACCTCCTTACAAAAAAAAAAATGAGCAACTCAGGCAGCCACGAGCAAGCCTAAGTATATCCCTCACCAAGTTACCAAACACACACGGAGGAGAGTAGCCTTTTTTTAAGCATGATGGAACTTGTTCAATAGGTTTCGATTCTGATTCCCATTTTAAGAAATCTGTTGCAACCGGTTCCGATTTCAAAAATTTTAACAGGGTATCGTGTTATTATTCTCCATTCGACCTTATATATTGTTGACTATAAAACTGATATTGTAAAGCATATAAGGAGTACCAAAATGAAGCAAATAGCATTTGGTAGATATTAAGGTGTTGTTTGGTTCACATGAAAATTAGAACTTTCCATATTTTGCACATTTATGGGAATTAAATTCTTATAGTCAAATTCATGGGATTTAAAGTGTTTGGTTGACAATGAGGGAAGTAACTTTCCATGGAAATTTCTACTTACTTAAGGGGGGTTAGGTAAGTAAGTTCCTACATTTTGTGGAAACTCAAAATTCCAAGGAATTGTCACTCCCCCCATTTCACCAAATTTTTGTCAGCCAAACAACATACTTAGGACATAACTTGCAATTCCTAGGAAGTCTCACATACCATATATTCTTTTTATATCAAACAAACAAGCCCTAAGTGAAATTAACAGCCTAAGGTTCAAAATCTTATCTACTTCTCAACAAAAATTAAGTGAAACAATAAATTGATTGTTTTAAACTCAATTGTAAAAACTTCATTTACTTTTTTTTTCTGTATATGAAGAAACTTCATATTGTATAGTAATAAATTGCTTCAACACAATTTTTTGTCCAACTAAACTTAGGTTCTTCATGTTCAGCTTATATTTAGCTCCAATCATTTCAACTCCTACTTTCCTTCTTTCATAAACTATTCATTTCAACTTTATTTAGTTAAATTAAGTTTAGCCCCAATCAATTTAGTTGTCTTCAGCAAATCAAAACAAACTCTTAAACTCGCAAGCTCATAGTATGGACTGTGGAGTACAGTATAGTTCCGTAACATTGTACTTTGAGTTCAACGGAGTGATGGACTATGGAGTAAGGTGTAACAATTTGAACTCGCAAGTACTTGCAAGTGCAAGAAATTATAGCTACCCCTGGCCCTGTTGCTGCAAAGTCACAACCTTTTTTCTGAACTGCCTTTGTTGCAGCAACTAGCAAGAACACACTTTATACTTCAAACTTTCCTTTAATTTTTTATTATTGAACATCAAGCTGACAACTTCACTTAGAACGCAAAAGTTATTGAGATAAAGACACTTAGACACACTTCACACATAATTACATGACATCAGTGAATTACATCAAATACTTCAGAGTTCAGAAAATCAGATATACTTAAACATCAACAGCAAACACACCTAAAAAATTGCTAATCTTACACAAGAATTGAATGAGGGCAACAAAATCTATAAAAATCAAATGATATACATGAATTATTACTAAAATAAATCATCATAAGCAATGATTTCTCTAGCCTTAAATGGAGCATCCAACACAGAACTAGTACTACTACTGGTATTGGTATTGGTATTGGGGTTAACAATGGCTGAACTCAACCTATTCCCCTTCCCATGTCTACTTAATGGCGCCTCCCCCCTCAACAGCTTCGACGTATTCGCATTCGGACTTGTGTTCAAATTCTTCCTCTCACTTTCCTCCTCAACTCCTGCCTCTCCATTATTCATTTCACTAGCCCACATCACTTGAACCTGCGAAACATACAACAATTACAATCTCAATTTCAATCCAGAACATTTTACAAAATTTTACCAAATTCATAGTAAAATTTTACCAAAAACTCTCTCAAGATTTTTGCAATTATAAATACAATAAAAAGTAAAAAAACTACCAATTCTTAGAAACAATTAAACAAATCTAAATTCTAAAACAAAAAATTCACAAAAATTAAAACAATAGATTCATAAAATCAAACCCCTTTTTTTAAAATTAAAAAAAAAAAAAAAAAAAAAAAAAAAAAAAAAAACACAAATCAAATAAAATCAAAATTACTTAAAATTCAGAAACCCAATTAAAAACCCAGAAAAACAAGAAAGTAAAGAAGAGAAAGAAAGAGAGGAATACAAGGTGGGAATCAATGGAGATGCCGAAGGAGGGGTCAACGGAGGCGGAGATGGCGGAATCAGCGGCGGATTTAGAGCGGAAAGAAATGAAGCCAACACCTTGTGGGTCGATCCGGATCCGAGAAATGGGCCCATAGATTTCGAACCTGGACTTGAGGTCCAAAACAGAGCAGCCCAATGGGAGCCCAATGACGACTAAGGCCGGTGGTGGGGTTGGTTTTTGTTTGGGTGGTTCGACAACGGGAGGCGGCGGCGGAATAGGGCGGCGGCGTTTAGGGTAGGAGTATGGAATATGGCGGGAGTTGTAGGGTTTGTCTCTTTTTCGGCTCATGCTTTTATTATTTGGTTTGTGTAATTTGTGTTTGGTTAGAAAACATAAAGATGGTTGAAAAGGAAGAACGAGAAAGGAAGGGGTACTGGACTACTGGGGTAGTCACTCATGAAGTCATGACTCATGAGTAGCACTGTCAAAAACCGAACCGAACCGATTTAAACCGATTCGAATGAGGATCGAACCGATTAAAAACCGATTTTTTGAAACCGAAAACCGAACCGAACCGCATTTTAGTAAACCCGAAACCGAACCGATCCGAGTAATGTTAAACCGTTTTAGAACCGAACCAAATCTAAACCGAACTGGAAAGGAAACCGAACCGAAAATAAACCGAACCGTTTCTAACCCGAAACCGTTTAAACTGGCATAAAAACCGTTATAAACCGAACCGTTATAAACCGAACCGTTTACAAACCGAACCGTTTACAAACCGAACCGTTTACAAACCGGACCGTTTATAAACCGAACCATTTATAAACCGAACTGTTTATGAACCGAATCCTTATAAATCGAACCGTTTACAAACTACTTACTACTAGGAGTGGTTATTGGGTGGGTCAGTGTGGGTCGATGCAGATCATTTACGAAGTGAGTCGGTTGCAGGTCAAGATGAATATTTAGCGGGACATAAATAATAACCAATAACTGAAGTTGAAGTACCAGCATTACCTGGAGTTTTATATTCATTACCGCAAACATTGCATCGAGCATATTTTATCGGAGCAAGACCAACCATCTTATCAAAAAAGGTGTAATACCTCCAAACATCTGATGTTCGTCCACGCTTACTACCACTAGTGGTACGTTGAGTAGAATCTTGATTCTGAACAGTAGAATCTTGATTCTTTACAGTAGAATCCTCATCAAAACCAATAAACTCTTGCTCCATTGCTGAAAAAACAAAAACACAACAGTATAAATCAAGTGAAAAAAAAGGCAAATTAAGGGCAAATAAAAAAAATAGGCAAATTAACACAGCAGCTCCGGACCTGCTTGCTTCAAGCAAAGCACACCAGCAACCTAGCCCAACAACAGACAGACAACACAGCCCAGCTAACACAAGACGACAGCAAAACCACAGCTGCAATACCCTAGAAAACCAGCAGCAACCAACCCCAGCACCCAGCCTGCAGCAGAGACATCAACTAGGACAGCACAAACCATGGCCAGAAAGACTCTGCTCTGAACAGGGCAGAAAACACCCAGCAGATCCTACAATCTAGCCTTGTACATCTAGCAGATCTGGCCAGACATTAGAACAGCAGCAGCACAGGACAGACCCTAGCTAGTACTACATGCTCTAAGCTGAGGTAGTCCATCTACAATTCAGTCCTAAAATATACTAAACACTATTAGACAACTCCTATCTGAATGCACTTGCACTTTTGCAACAAAACAAAACCCAAACTTAAATCAAAAAATCCTGCTAGCATTCAGCATTAACCCACATAAACAGAAACACTAATGAGAGAACAATGCAGCTGATAGAACAAAGGATAGCATTCAGTATATTTGAAGACTAATAGAGCATTATAGACAAAGCCGTACATTTTAAATGCTCAACAAACAGCAAACAGTCACAAAGGCAGACCAGCAACAACACAGCAGCCTGAAAAAAACCAAGCACAATTAATAACACGAAAAGAAACCACGAGCATGAATAAGGTAACCAAATCAACTCAATTGTTGCTCATGGTACTACAACCACAACCCTGATCAGAACTGAGCATAGCCAAAGCTGGTAAGGCCAGAACACCTCACAAATAGATATAACAAAAAATGAACAACAAGAACAATAAAATTAAAAAATCAGAAATTAAATGAACAACAAGAACAATAAAATTAAAAATTACATGAACAACATCAAAAAATCAGAAATTATATGAACAAATCAGAAATTATATGAAATTTGATTAGGGGATTTTTATCCACCAATCACCGTCTGACAAGTGGACCAACCAGGTTCCGCCACGTGTCCTTCACGTAGGCTAATAGGAGCCTGCCACGTGTCAATCACATATACGTCCTCTACGGACCAATTGAGACACGCCACGTGTCCACCCATGCCAAATGGGAAAACCGGCCAACAAGGCCCAATCCTGTTTAGAGGCCCGGTCAGCCCTAGGTTTACCCTAAACCTAGAGAGTGGCACGCTTCTCAAGACTATAAATACTTAATTAATCCTCATTAAGGAAAAACAGAACAGAACAGAAACGTTACGGAACACACTAATAACCGGCTGATCTCGCTAACAAAGCAGATTACCAACATTAAACACTCTCACCTAGAGAGACCTTATTACTTTAATTTCCGTATTAATTACTCCTTAATCAGGTACTAACTTGACCGTTGGAGGCGGAGCTCTCAGGAGTCTCCGTTATTTTGCAGGTACAGGCGTCCGGTTCCAGTCTCGGAATTGTAACTCTCCCGCTGGACATCAAAAAACCCCGAAACATTTGGCGCCGTCTGTGGGGAGAGTACTTCAGAGATGGCATCCAAGTCTGTACCGACTCCTGAAGAGAGGCGTCCCCTAAACGACCCTCAAGTTCAGTCGAACCATGACACCGAAAGTGAATTTGAAGTTGAAACTCATACAGCTCCAGACGGGACCCTAAGGGCCCGACGTACCCGTCATACCGAAAGGAGGGAACGGGAGCATCTTCAAACAGGAAGCGAGCCAGCAGGCGCACCGCCTGTTCGGCAACAGCCGACTGATGGGTCTGCTCCCATCACAAGGAATGAACTCATGACCTTCATGAGGGACTTCAAGGGAGAGATTCAAGAGTTGATCAACAAGAAGCCGCCTGCTTCAGTCAAGGAGCAGTCGGCCAAGAAACCCTCCACTTCACTGAAGAGGAAGCCAGTTCAAGGGCGAGAGGCGACTCCTCATCCTAAATCTAGGAAGCGGGAACCACCTGCCCTTGATTTCACAAAATTCCGTTATCCTACAGGAAATAGGAAACCGGTTCGTCATATTCAGGCGGACGGGTCAAAGCAAACATTCACAGATGCTCGGCTACTGCTAGAGCAGAAGAAGAGTGACCGATTGTCAGAGTCGGCTTCTACTTCAAACTTTCAAGACAGTTTGCGAAATGCCTCGATGAGGCATACTCAGTCGTACCATGAGAGTCAGTCAGGCGGCACCTCCCGTCAGTCCGGCTTTCATAGTGCCCAGGCGGTATCAAACTTATCATTTGTGCCGCAACAACAGTATTTTATGCAGCCACCTCCATTTGGTGGACCTACAGCAAAAAACGTCCAACCTATGGACTGGCAGCTACGGTTGCTTAGACTTGGTGAACAGCCGTCGGCCTTCTCCAAGGAAATTACTGAAGCCGCTCAGCCGGCCAAAGTGAAAAATGTACTAGTAGGCGCCTATGACGGCACTACTAACCCAGAAGACCATCTGATGGCATTCACCAACCTGATGTACCTTCAAGGGTTGGATGATCCCACTTGGTGCAAGTGTTTCCCAGCGACTCTCAAAGGAATCGCACAGCAATGGTTCGGCAACCTGCCGACTGGTTGTGTAAATAGCTTCAGGACGCTTGCTTACTTATTTGCCTCCAACTTCGCCATGAACATCCCTGCGAAGAAAACGACCCTTGATTTGGGAACAATTCAGCAGGGCGAGAAGGAGGGGCTTCGTTCTTACATCAGGCGGTTTAACCTGATGAGAATACAGATTCAAGGGTTACCGGATGAGGTAGCTTATACCGACTTTTTTAGAGGTCTCAAAGACGGGTCTACCTTCAAATTTGATTTGGTTCGAAAAAGGGTGGCGACTCTTCAAGAGGCCTTGATTGAAGCAGAAGCCTATATACAGGCGACTGATCTGTGTACGATAAAACAGTCAGACGGGAAAAGGTTCGACAAAAGAGAAGGACGACAGAAACAGTCGTCAAACAAAGATGAGAAAAGAAAAGAGGTCTGGGCGGCTGATTCCTCTAAACAGCCGGCCCAGAAAAAGAAAAAAGAATTCAAACCATACTCCCCAAAGTATGCGTTTAACAAGGATAACCAGTTTATCCTAAAAGAAATCAAGGGACGGATCTCAATTGAGAAGCCGGTCCCCATGAAGGGTTCTGCAAACAACCAGGACCAAGATAAAATCTGTGCTTATCATGATGACGTTGGTCATCACACCAATGACTGCATCAGTCTTATGCGGTACCTAGATCGCCTGGCTGAGCAAGGTGATCTTGACACTTATGTCAAGAAATCTACGGGGAACACTTCCTCAAAAAAGCTGTCGGCCAAAAAGAATCAACAGGCCGACAGCTCCGATACAGATGATGCAGTCGTCTACACCATTGCAGGCGGCTTCTCAGGAGGCGGCCCCACTATTAGGGGCAACAAAGATAATATAAGGCGGTTAGATGTAAATTCCGTTCACCAAGAACGGCCGTCCAAATATACATTTCCTGAGATTGTCATCACTGAAGAGGATCTAGGAGGGGTAAGGGGGCCGCATGACGACCCTCTCGTTATTGAATGTAAAGTGGCCAACCAGAGAGTTGGCCGAATCCTCATAGATACCGGGAGCTCCTCAGATCTCATCAGCAGCAAATGTCTGTCGAAACTGAAATATCAGACTGACTGCATACATCCGGCCTCCCACCCTTTAATAGGGTTTGGAGGAGGAGTCGTCCACCCACTGGGACGAGTAGATTTACCCATTCGCCTGGGCGAAAAAGGGGAAGGACGACACATGGTAGTCCGGTTCCTAGTAGTAGAGGAACTCTCGGCCTACAACATGATTCTGGGTCGACCAACCCTGAATAATTCCAAGGCTGTTATAATCCCGTCTCTTATGTTGCTCAAGTTTGAGAGGGATAATGGAACAGTCGGCTCCCTAAGGGGAGATCATAGGATGGCCCGAGAGTGCTATCTCTCGGATGTCAAGCCCACTGTTATGGCCACTGGGTCAAGTGGTGAAAAAACAGACCTTGACAATGTCAAGGAGAGTGCGCCTGTTCAAGAAGTAGGCGGCAAAAAGAGAAAGACGTCCCAGACAGAGTCCGCAAGAAAAGCAAGGAAATAGCAATCATTGGCAGAGGAGCGGCCGAATGAGTTCCGCCCTCAG